CTTTTTTTTCTCCTCAGACTGGTAAAAGCAATAGAAAATCAACAGCATTTCTCTCTATCTGCTGATCCCTCGTTCCGACACTTTCAGATGGACGTCTCCAGAGAACTCAAAGCACTCAGCAGCATGGACTTTATACAAGGTTTTCATAAAAACTTGCTTTTCTATGTCAAATACAATAATGAATTGAATTCACATTTAATCCAACCCCTTATTTTCCTTCTGCAGCCCCATTGGCTCCTGTGATTGACACTCAAAAGACCTTGGCCTATGACCAGCTCTATTTGTGCTGGCGCCTCCCACAGGACTCCGCCCCTGCCTGGCACTACTCAGTGGAGTATCTGAGGAAAGTGGGCGGAGCGGGAGCATTATGGGGCAGAGTCTTGTCTGAAGGAAGCTCAGGAAGTAATGGCACACACTGTTCATGGCAGCGTCTGGATGATGTGGGCGGGACCAGTGCAGTGATTGATAAGCTAGAGATGGACAGTGTGTATGTCCTGAGAGTTCGAGGCTGTAATAAGGCAGGGTTTGGAGAGTACAGTGAGGAGGTGTATCTACACACACCTCCTGCAACAGGTAAGACACATCCACACGCAAATATATACGCACTTGAATCTGAACCCTTTTAAAATATAAGTTACCCAGAGTCAAATTATTTTCCTCCAGCTCCTCAGTTTCTCACATTATTGAAGATGCAAAATAATTGCATATTTTCCACTCATTCTACTTCTTCGACTTACAATTTGCATCCTCTATTTTTATTTTCTCCATTTATGTATCCATCCATTTATTTATTCTTCCATTCATTCATTCACGTATTTTTTATTTGTTTGTTTGCTTTTGTCTATCTATCCATCCATTGAATGATTTGTTGATTTATTCATTTATTATTTCATGCATTCGTTTATTGATATTATCCATCCATCCTCCATTTACCTATCAATTGATACATTCACACGGAATTATTCATTCATTCATCTGCCTTTTTGTTCATGTTTGTTCACTTGTCATCGATTCATCTGTATCATATTCATTTATTTATTGAATGATTAATACATCTAACAATCCATATCATTTAATTCATCTAACCATTGATTTATTGATCCATTCATTCACCCATCCATATCACAATTCTATCAAACTGAACCTTGTTGTTTTATTACATGCATATCATATTTTCTTTCTCATTTTCTCTCATACAATTAATTCTGTTGTGGTAGTATATTTCTCCATGCATATCCACAACTCTCTGACATGTCTCTTTTTGCTCTCCTCTCTGTATTATTTCTCCTTATGTTTCCTGTTGTTCTCCACCTTCCTTTGCTCCTGTTATCTCTGCTGTTTCTTTGACTTGTATTCCTATTTAACTGGAATATATCAGCTGCTTGATCTCCTCTGAATCCTAGAGTCCTGGAATATGTACAATGTTCCTGCTGTCCTCTCTGTTTCCCCTCTTTTCTTCCAATCCCATTTCTTCCTTTTTACACTTATGCATACATATCCCCCCTCTCTGTTCCTTTTTATATGTTCACTTCCTCATCCTCTTTTCATTTTGTGTTCTACTCCCTATGACCTGGCCTTTCCAACCCTCTCCTCCACTCCATTTCTCCTGCATACCTCAATCTCAGTGTTGTCGTTCTGCCTGGATTCGCGCTGGGGCCTACATGCGGAGCGGGTGGCGCTGGGAAAAGGGCAGACATACGCCCGGAGTGTTCCTGGGATGACTCTGTTGCAGGCTGCTGATCGGGCTCTTACCTCATGTCACCTCACCTCTGACCTCCTTGTGGCTGATGTTTCCATCACACAGGGACGACACTACTGGGCATGCTCAGTGGAGCCTGGCTCCTACCTGGTTAAGGTCAACATAGAAATTAGTACTTTTATTTTAGCAAGGATGCATTAAATTGATCAGAAGTGACAGTCAAGCCATTTATAATGTTGCAAAAGATTACGGTTTCAAATACATGCTGTTCTTTTGAACTTTCAGATTTATCAAAGAATCCCGAAAGAAATGTCACAGTTTCCACAAAATATTAAGTAGCACAACTTTTTTCAACAATATTGAAAATGTTTGTTGAGGACCAAATCAGCATATTAGAGTGAATTCTGAAGGAACAAGTGACACTGCAGACTGGACTAATAATGCTGAGAATTCAGATTTGCATCACAGAAATAAATTACATTTAAAATATTAAAACAGTTTATTATTAATTTTAAATTGTAGTGATATTTCAAATCGTTACTGTTTATATGGCATTTTTGATCAAATAAATGCAGCCTTGGTGAGTATGAGAGACTTCTTTCAAAAACAATTAAAATTTTTACCAACCCCACCCCAAACATTTGAGCAGTAGTGTATAACTGATTTTTGCAAAAATTTATAATATACAGTATGTTTTCATTATTTCATTTTCCCCCCTGTGAAGTAATATGAAAGAGTACGCCAAATTACTGAATATGGTTTTATTTTCAAGAATTTAATGTTGAATTAGGCTTTTTCTTCGTTGTATTGTTCTGACATTTTTTTTACTTTATTCCACACACAAAAAAAAGGAAAACAAAATAAATTTTATAAAAAAAAATGAAAACTAAGTTCATAGAAGTTAGGGGTTAAAAGACTTCTGATTTTTAAAAGTCGACTTTTATGTTATGAAAGTCGAGTCGAAGTCGACTAGTCTTTGATGACGTCATTAATGAACAAATAAGTCGGGAGCTGTGACGAACACCTTGTGCACAGCTATGGCATATGACACAGCGCTGCCCACATGGCTATTGCTCCTATAACAGCTCATTTTTAACAGTTCTTTTGTCTTTGGGTCGTTATATTTCTCACAGATTTGTGCTCGTTCTAAATCACATACAGATAAAGTAGCACAGTAAAGATTACATTCATATGAATGCATTAGTGAGAGCGATTGCGTGTGTGAATTAATTCTACCTGGCAGCGTCTCTCTACTAGTAGTGAAGCTGTGGGATTTAGTTATTAAGAAATATATGCTTGAAATGTTCAGTTTCTAAGCTATTTTATTGAGAAATCTGTTGACAATACATTTCCGCGCTGAATGATTCCGTGCGCGCGCGATGTGTGCGTGATGTACGAGCAGGGTTGCCAGGTTTTCACAACAAAACCCGCCCAATTGCTACTCAAAACTAGCCCAATCGGTTTCAAGGGGGGTTCCCCGGGAAAATTCGCATTCCAGGGGCTGGATATCACGTTATTGGGGGCGCTTCAACCCGCGGACATTTAAAACAACCCACGGCAACAGTGTTAAAGTAGCAAACTTCCGCGCAACACTGTGTATGAGCTACTGTCTGTAGCCTATGTGTGTGCGTTACAGTGCAGCAGCGCATTAGATTAGAACGGCGATTAACTTACCTGTACAAAAAACTGTTTATAAAGTGCATTATCCTGTTCAATTTCGAGCATCCAGTAATATTATCACACATGTCTTGTGGAGCTCTTTCAGAGTATGCATTTATTTGTCATTTTAACTGTTCGGAAACGGAGCGTAAATGTAGAAGTCCTTCAAAGATTTCTTATCCCATTGCGCCCTCTATAGGACCAGCGACTAGTCGACGTCAAGTTTAAAGCGTCATGGCAGAGCATTGAAGTCGACTAGTAGATTAGTCGGTGCAACCCCTAACAGAAGTATATTCAAGTTATATTTATGAAATGCATTTTTAGTAGCCTATATTAATATATTTTATGTAATACAATATGTTGATTTTTAAAATGGATACAGATTCATATAAAAAAAAATCTAAAAATGTGAATTTTAAAAACGAGTTGTTTTCTCTGTGTGTAGGTGGGAGTGGGTGTTGAAGCAAAACTGCAGGAGTGGTTCCATCTTCCACAAGACATGGCAAGTCCACGGTGAGGAGAAATTTTGAAGCGTTTAAGAGCTGACTAACTCACGATGACTTATGTAGGCAATATTATTGATGAATTGATCTTTTTCCTTCTATTTCTCTCCATAGGTACGATCCAGATAGTGGTCATGACAGTGGCGCAGAGGACACCCAGGACTGTCCTCCTCCATTCTGTTTCCTCACAATGGGCATGGGCAAGATCTTACTACCCAAATGTGGGGCGTCTAACACTTCTACTGGCCCCCTCACTGCCCCCTTACCACCTCGCCTCGGACTGTGTCTGGACTTTGAGAAGGGGCGGCTCACTTTTTACGACGCACACTCTTTGCGAGTGCTGTGGGAGGGGACTGTTGATTGCTCCGCCCCTGTTTGCCCAGCATTCTGTTTTATTGGTGGAGGTGCTCTGCAGCTGCAAGAGCTAATAGCCAATCGCAGTACAGAGCAGAACCCACCAAGAAGAGTGACCATCCAAACACATGCCACCGATGCAGGTCACTAAACCGTCTGATCGCTTTGAAACTAGTCAAATCAGCACCTTTAAGCAAATCTTCTTTTATCGTTTTCTATAGACTTTGTTTACCTGCTTATTTCGTAGCTAATGATACAATGATTGATGTTATTTTATATTAAGATTAATTTCATTTCAAAGGATAGACATTAAAAAGTGGTTATGGATGCTAACAACATGTAGCATGCTAACAACATGTAGGTCAATATTAAATAACGAGGAATTGTGTGTTTTTATGGCCACAAAATCAAAAATTCAAATCATGTATGATTCAGGTTCACTCATAACACATTCATTTGGAACATTCTTGTAAAAGCAAATGATTCCTCGCTATTTTCAAACTAGTTTTCCAGCATTGTTAGCATGCGCACCGCCCACTATGGGTGTGCTAATAGTAAACACCTTGATTTATTTATTAACAGTGTATGTGCTCCTTACAGGAATGCTGCAATGCCTTGAAATGTGATCACGTTGCAATTCAAATCCACAGTAGTTCCCAATGTCCTTGAATTGTCTTGCTACTTTGAGGTTCAACCAAGATGTGAAACCTTTGGTTGGACATTTTGTATTGGTGTCAGTACACGTCCTGTGCATAGAGACCTTGTCTGTTTGGTTTGTTTGGGCCTTAGTCTGATGGAAGCCTTTAGTAAGCGAAACTAAAAGAACAACCGTGTAATGAAAAGAACCTGCTTTTGTGAGATCTCTACAGGTGCCTGCTCTAATGTTACACAACCCACTTTCCCATTTGAATGTCCTAAATATTAATCTCCAAAACAAAACAGTCTGACACACCTCATACTTCTTTTAGGCTTTTTTTCATAATCATGACTGTTATAGTCATGTTTTTTTTTCTTTTTCTTTTTGCCGACTGGGTATGGTGAGAACAAATTAGTGGGTGAAGTTTAATTTCAGAAATGGATGCTGCTTATGACCGTGCAACTGTCAGTCATTGGAGTGTGTGTTGTTAAAAGGAAATTTTTGAATTGTATACTGAATGTCAGTTGTATTTATTGTGTGTGTGTGTGATTGTGTGATATGTTATTGCAATAAAGACAGTTGCTGAAAGCTCTGGTTGTGGCCATGTTTTCTGCTGTTTGGACGCATTGTTGCAGATTCAGGTCTCGTTGTGTGAATTTATATTGATGTTGAGGATATTATGTAGCATTTATTAAACATGCTGGTCCTTGGAAAATTGGCAAAATGTTTGTAAAAGACACTAATTGCAGAAGTGAAATAAAGCATCAACGTTTCTCACTTGTATTATGTTCATGCCCCTTGATTTTTACCCTGAATAAGGAAAAGTTTTCACAGAACATATTTTTGCATTCCACTGTTCTGCTTCTCCATTGTTTTTTTACATGTGTTTTTAACATGTTTGACTGTTGCGCTCGCATATGAAGCAGTGTTCTAAAAGGTTGCACTATAAAGGTAAAATAACAAAAAAAAGTGTCTTAAAGGGGTCATAGGATGCTACATGCACTTTTACAAGTTGTTTGAACTGAAATGTGTTGGCAGTGTGTGTACACAACCACCCTATAATGATAAAAAATCCACCCAGTGTTTTTTTTTTAATCGTGTTAAATGTTTTCCTTTTTCTCAAATCGAGCCGATCTCAGATGCCTGTCTGTGTGACATCACAAAAACAGGCCCCTCCCACGATAGTTTGATTGACAGTAGCGTTTCAGCACAGACTGGACTGGTGTCTTACCTCAGACCCGCCCTGAGTGAGCTGTCATCAGTCCGCCATTGTTTCACCGCTGGAGCAGTTGTAGACAAGAATGACTCCTAAGCGATTGAGGTGTTCTGTTGTTGGATGTAATAATGAACATAGCAGTCTTCATTTCCTCCAGACATCTGAGCCGCTGAAGACGCAGTGGATTACGTTTGTTTCTGAAGGGAATGCTCCCCCGATCTACCTAAATGCGTCTATGTTCGAGTGAATCATTCATGATCCAGCCTCATCTACAGAAGAAGTGAGTCTAAGGTTTTGTAATGAATCTTTGCAAATCGCCTTTCCTAATAATGTGCTAATTAGCAAGTTTCACGATGAATACAGCTAAAGTAAACAGTCTGTGAGAGCAGCTCGGAAGAGAGGGGCGGGGTCAGCATAGCTCATTAACATTTAAAGGAAAATGCTACAAAAACGGCTTGATCTGAAAAGAGCTGTTTTTGATAGGGTAAAAAATGTGTTTTTTACACTACCATTGAGAAATTTTAACCAAACTATGTTACAGACTTTTCATTAAGACCCTAAAGAATCATATCAACTTGTGGAAAATGGGCATCCTATGACCCCTTTAAGACCCCTTTAATTGCAATTTTCCAGATTCCACTGCTCTACGCAAAAACATGGTCTGTGTGAACTGACCTCAAGGAGGTTAACTGCAAAAAATACTTCCCGATTCTCTGTCTTTCTGGTTCCCTGGGTTTAATATTTTTATGTAATAAATACTGGATAAATAATGGGTGAAACCATCTTTTTTGTTTTTGTGCATCGCAATTTCTCTCCAGACTAGATTCAGGTAAGATTCACTCATCTTTCTGCTGTTCGCCACATAAACTGTGATCTCATTTTCTCTCTTACAGTCTTTACTGGTCCATTACAGGTTCATTTGTCCAGATTATCATTTATAATTATCTGCTGATCAAGAGATCTGTGATAATGGAACAGTTTGGACAGCAGTTAGTCGTATTGAGCCTGAGCTTGCTGGCTGCTATGATCATCTCTGAACAAAGTGAGTATTTAATCATTGCTCTCATCTAATTTTGTTAGCAATTAATAGCATTTTATGCCAATTTCAGTGCTTTGCCTTTGGATATTTCTGTCGTTTATCTTTTGAAAACAATCTTTTGCTCTCTATGTCTGGCAGAACTTCCAAATGAGGTTAGTCGTGATGATGACATTTGCACATCCAGCCGTCGGAACATGTCAGAGGCCTTTAACATGATCATACTAGAGTTTAGGTGGGATACCCAGGTTTGTTTGTCTTTATCTTGTCAAACAACAGTGGTAACTAAACAAGTAATGTACAATATAAAGCTAATCATGAATAAAGTGCCATGATGTTTTCTTATGTTGGAATGAAAGAGACTAAGAATGAGGTTAGTCGTGATGATGACATTTGCACATCCAGCCGTCGGAACATGTCAGAGGCCTTTAACATGATCATACTAGAGTTTAGGTGGGATACCCAGGTTTGTTTGTCTTTATCTTGTCAAACAACAGTGGTAACTAAACAAGTAATGTACAATATAAAGCTGATCATGAATAAAGTGCCATGATGTATTCTTATGTTGGAATGAAAGAGACTAAATACCAAATGAAGTGCCTCTTATTCTTACCCAAAGATACAAATGGAAGAAAGAGTTAAAACTGAACACAATCTTGCTGCTCAAACTGTGTATAAACATCTTTTAAATATTTCTTTGCTCCTTTTCCATTTTGCATTTACTTGTACTTATACTTTCAATATAATTATGTTTAATATTTAAAAAATACTTTTCATACTTAAGTACAATAAATATCACATACTTTAAAACTTTTAATCAAGTAACATTTAGATGGTGACTTTGAAATTCAACCAAAGTCATTTTCTGGTAAGATATCTGTACTTTGACTTAAGTGTGGCTTTCAGGTACTTCATCCACCACTGTCCATGGGAATGTTGTACAGATGATATTTTTTAAGCTCTCAGATCAGAATTATGAAAGATATTTGAATCATCATGAGTGTGTCGTTTTCACCAGACGTATCATCAGAATCATTGGATGAAACAGACACATATACATTTTGATGGGAAAGTATGACCCTAGTAAACCATCTAGAGGTTCAGAGGTCATAATTGAAGTACATGTGAATGGAAAAGCATTTCTCTCTCGCTTTCTCTACTAAATGAACTAAATACACAGCTTAACTGGTTTCATGTAGTCTTTGTTAAGCACTTTGATGTACTTCACATTAAGTAAAGACTAAATGACTGAGAAATGACTAAAAATCGTAGTCAAAATGGACAAACAAATTGTTTTTCTTCACCATAATTGTGCTCCTTGGTGTTACAACCTATTGCACACAAACCTTACAAGGATCTATGCATCTACATATGTGGCTGTTGCAAACTGTAAAGCAAAAATTAGTGCTAACTACTTATTGCGACACAAGCACATTACTATGGTAGTTTATAATTTATTAGCAGGTTTCTTTCATATGATGTGAATATTTGAGCAGAAAGTCCCACTTAGATTGTCAAGTGAATAAAATAAAAGTAAAACAATTGCTCTGGTAAAAAACGCTGTGTGTCAGTCCTGTTTTTGAATGTCCTGTTTATAGACCGACTTACCCATTTCAATGTCTATTTTAATACACAGTCTCATATACCATATATTGATCTGACATATGCATCGTTGTTATAGTCATAATTGGGAAACTGTAAATTGTGTGTCAGTCTGAGAACATACAGTTTTGTGTAATATGCTGATTTATGTACGAATGTTGCATTCCGTAAACATTACCTTTGCAAAACTGGCATCAAATGTGGAAAAAAACAACAACAATGACAGAGTACTTGTATTATTTTCATGATGTTCCAGGATGTTCAATCAGGAACGAGGAAGAACAAATCAACAAACCAGTAAATCACACCTCCATAACTTTTCCTTTGTTACTCCCCTCCCACTCTGGCTCTTTTCTTTGTATCAAATGTGAAAATGGGTGGTGACATGTAAATCACACATTTCTAGCTTTTATCTTCCCCTTGTTCAGAGCAGTAGGCAGTTTCTCTTCAGACTTGATACAGGTAAGAAGCACCTGCACTCATCTTGTTTTCTCTGCAAACAATTGCTCTCTTTCTATTTTCACTGTTCTTATTTTCTGTTTTCAAACTTCAGCTCCAGTGTTCACTGCAGGCTATAACGATTATTGCTATTATTGCTTATTTTATTAATGTAATTGTATTTTTCAATATGATTTTTGTATGCTTTTTGATGAACTCTCTCTATATGTTGTGATTTTACATTTTAATGCTGAAGTGACACTTTCTAATAATTTGTCATCTATTTTAAAAATCATTCAAATGGCTACAATGTCACCCCAGACTAGTTTAGAACTTAATTTAGTAATAGAACTGATTTTTTAGTAAATGAAGAATATTTACATATTGATAGATGAAATACTTTAAAAATATACATTACATTCAACCCTAAAATGAAAATTGTGTCATAATTTACTCACCCTCATGTGGTTTCAAATATGTGTGACTTTCTATTTTCTGTAAAATACAAAAGATGTTAGGAAGAAGACACTTTCAGTCACCATTCACTTTCATTGCATCTTTTTTCCATAAGCAAGTGAATGGTGACTGAAACTGTCACACTGCCAAACACCTTTTTTGTTTCACTGAAGAAAGACATTCATATGGGTTAGAAGCAATGAAGAGAAATTTCATTTTTTGGGGCTGAACTAACCTTTTAAATCTTTCACTTTATTAATATTTACCAGAAAGTGACAAGTGTTGCAGCATGTGAAAACCCACATGAGCTTTGTCACTGTCGTTGGTATCTTACGTTTAACAAAAGCTTGCACAACCGGATCGACAGCTCAATACACTTCACTGAGCATTTAAAAAGACTTACACGTTCACATTCTTTGCAAAATGATTGTATTACATTGATGGAAAGATAACTGGAATGAGCCACTGAGTATTCAATGACCAAATGAGAGTGTAATACCAGCTTATTGTTCCCAAAAACAGATTTATCTTGCAATGTTTTTTCCCCTGTAATCTCTAGAACTAGGTTTATTGTCTCTATATGAAATTGACTTATATGTGAGGTTTGGTCCTGTGTATGACTGTAGATTGCCGGGGTAACCTTAAAGTTGTAACTAAAGACTAACTAATAGCAGGACTTAAACAGGAAGAAGAAATAATGCAGATAACGTTCATCTCACGATCATATAAAATTTCTTAAAATGTTATTTACTCAAATATAAAGGTAGCTGTATTAAGACCCATAAAAAAATATAAAGCTGAAGATAGCAAATTATCTACAATATTATCTGGAGAACATTTATTGTTAGTTTATGTATATTTTTTTATAAACTTATAAACTGTTAAATGTATAAACCTGATGGAAAAACCTTTTCGGCTGAATTTGATTTTTTGAATAATGCTTTTCACAACAATTATTTTTCTGATACTATTCTTATAAGTAAGGAAAGAAAAGATGAACACATTATTTTTAAATGTCATGATTAGTAGAATTAAACAAAAATATTATCAACTAAATAAAAATGTGTCAAACATTTGAATTAATATCTTAAGTTAATACATTAACTTTGACTAGCATAAAATAATGTTTACAAAAAATGTTCTCTCTGTCTCACTCTCTCTCTCTCTTTAACGGACCCCCGTACTAGCATACAAATGATCTCAAAGCTGACACACGTGGACTAAAAACCACAAAACTCAAATTTTTTTTTCTTTTACAGTCTCTCCTCATCTGAGTCTCAGCCTTGTTCTTGTAAAACATCTGCAACAATGGCACAATTTGGCCATCTGGTGGCAGTGTTGAGCCTATGCCTGCTGGCTGCACTGGTGAATTCTCAACGTGAGTGTCCAATCAGTTTTCTTTTCATTGGAGATCATACAGACCTATTTATTACCTTCTAGTCTTTATCACAATGATCAGCATTAGGCATTTTTTAAAAATTCAGATTTCAGTGCTTTGCCATGTCATTTAATCATATCATCTCACTTTCAAATGGATCTAAAACCTTTTTGCTTTGCTTTCTTTTTCTATAATAGAGAACACACCCCCACATCCTCCTCCTATAGAACATGAGATCTGTACACACTACACTCAGGGTGGGACCCTCCTTCTGGATGGGCCTAAGGTCTTTGAAATGATGCTGATCGAGTTTGGACGGGCAATCCAGGTCTGTATACATGTACTCTTCTTAAAGGGATAGTTCATCATATTCATAGTTCAAGAACATATAAACATTTTATATGATATTTATATAAATAGGTAGAGCTAAGGGGTCCATGAAAAATTTGGGTAGAGGGTAGGAAAAAGATACCATGCCAACTGAACACAAAGTAAATATTTTCCAGATCATATTTTAATTGTTTGCTTTATCTTTAGTACAGTTACTACAATTAGGCTGTCAAATAGAATATAATCACATCCAAAATAAAAGTTTATGTTTACATAATATGTGAGTACTGTGTATATTTATATGTATATATATATATATATATATATATATAGGGATGTAACGATTACCGGTTTGACGATAAATCGTGGTTAAATAACCCACGGTTAGTATTACCGTTTTTGACATTTACATTAGATATTTGAACATGCTATTAGATAAACTGTTGTCAGTCATGTTGTCATTTAAAATCCGGACATCATTGGCAATGTTATTGTTTTAGTTATGCAAACAAAAACTCATTTTATTTGTTGTTAGTTGATTTTAAATGTAAAACTTGGTGAAATGATTTGTGTGTCAGACTCAGTACTTTTTGAACATTTCCAGCACATTTTAACAATACCGTGATAATACTGATAACCGTGATCATTTTGGTCACTATAATCGTGATGAGAAATTTTCATATCGTTACATCCCTATATATATATAAATGCACACACATAGGCTACATGTATATATTTAAGAAATATTTAAATGTATATCTATCTATCTATCTATATTCATATTAATATATGATTTATATTATATGTAAATATAAATAGGCCTATATATTACATATAGGCCTATTTCTTAAATACATACATGTATGTGTGTGTATTTATATATACATATAAATATACACAGTACTCACTGTAAACAAACTTTTATTTTGAATGTGATTAATCGATTTGACAGCTCTAATTACAATATAAAATATAAAGTGTTTATGCATGAAAATATAGCTGCTTTTGTAATTTAGTAAGATGGTCCTTTACAAAAGGATAGTCATATTTTGGCATCCTTTACATAAAGGTTGAAAATGGTACATGGACACCATTATTATTCTCTGTCTCTCTCTGTAGACCCTGAACCCTATGGTGACTCAACAGTGGATGGACGAAGTAGATGCTGATCACGACAAACGCCTGAACATGGCGGAGTGTTCCAGTCTCGTCCAGAGAGTCTCTGACTCCGTTCAGAGGCCTCCGCAATAAAGAAGCCACATCTACTGATTAAAGTAACTTGTACTTGTGTACGGAAGTATATGAAGAAAAATAAGACTTCACAAACACTTATTTAGTATGTAGGTCTGTAGCTTAATCTCATGTAATAAACACTGTAAGGCATCACTCAAATTCTAAATAATGTATTGTTTTATAAATTACTTTAAAACATGGAATTAAAGAATCTTAGTCAAATATGAAAAAATAAAATTTGGTCAAAAACACACTTGTGATCTATGACGTCTCACTGCAGAATACGTAAGTTACATCTTGTGCTTTTGTACACTGGTTGTGGCTGTTGATGGCAATGAATGCAGGTAAAATAATAAAATATCTTTTTATTTACTACCACCCACAACACACCCGTCTAGGTTTAAAGGTTTTTAGGTATTTAGCTAGCGTTAGCATAGCTGCTCTTGGTGTTCTTTAAAGGAGTCATATGATGCGATTTCAATTTTTCCTTTCTCTTTGGAGTGTTGCAATCTCTTGGTGCATAAAGAAGATCTGTAAAGTTGCAAAGACTAAAGTCTCAAATCCAAAGAGATATTCTTTATAAAAGTTAAGAGTCAACCACGCCCTCCTAAAACGGCTCGTTCTAACACGCCCCCACATGTCTACCTCACTATGTGGGAAGATTTGCATAACGCCGCCCAAATGTTCAATCAAAGAAAGAAGGCGTAACTTTTCGATGAGCTTTGTAAAAATCGACGCGTTTCAGAAAGGCGGGGCATAGAGGAGAAACAATAATGTACAATATGTGGAAAATAATGTGTTTTTTGAACTTTAAACCGCATAAACACATTTCATTACACCAAATACACAAAATAATGTTCTTTTTAGTAACATCATATGACCCCTTTAAGTAGGCCTACTCATACCACAATGGTGTTAAATGCTCATGCCACACTGCCATCTATTGACGAGGATTAGCAATTCACTGATATTTGTGAGTTTTATTAAAGCGGTTTACAAAATAATTTATTCGCTTACCTGTCCAGTGAATAAAGGAGCAACTTGGGCACAGGATTTTCTCTGTCATCAAATGTTTCCACTTCGTGTACGCAGTAGCCATAGATATGTATACATTATGTATCTATGTGCTGTAGCGATGTTTATGTTTGTTTTTATATATCGTTCTTTCAGTCATCTGCCTAAAGACTTTCTGCTTGTTTGGCCGCTCAGGTAGGCTTCTCCATGGTCTCAGCTGGCAAAGCTCGATACTAAGTTTAATTCTTAATTTTTTGCTTATCTCAGCAAACTACACTACTTAGCGTATCTACAAATGTGTACCCAAGTGAGCGTAATGATTTTGTCCGTTGTTTACTGAAAGACCACGGTTCAAGTTATCTCAAAAGGGTGAAATACACTGAGAAAGATGACCACCAGCACCATGGATAATTAAAACACTTTTTATAGAAAACTATTATGTGTCCAGTCTTTATCTAATGTGAGTGCACACCATTCAGATGGCTCTTCACAAAAACACATTTTATTTCTTAAATGGATAGATCACCCAAAAATAAAAATTCTGTCATTATTTAGGCATCCCCAAGTTGTTCCTTCTTCTTATCTTTCTTCTGTTGAACACAAAAGAAGATATTTTGAATTTGAAGAATGTTAAACACAAAAGAAGATATTTTGAATTTGAAGAATGTTGGTAACCAAACAGTTCACCATTGACTTCCATAGTATTTTTTGGGATGAGACAATCCAACGCTCTCCATTGACTTTCTATTGCGGGAAGCTGCCTTGTCATTTCTGACTTATAACAAAAAACAGAGCAATGCCTAAAAGCTGCTATGTGACAAGGTGTACAGTAAACAAGCTAAAAATGATTTTGTCCGTTGTTTACTGAAAGACCACGGTTCAAGTTATCTCAAAAGGGTGAAATACACTGAGAAAGATGACCACCAGCACCATGGATAATTAAAACACTTTTTATAGAAAACTATTATGTGTCCAGTCTTTATCTAATGTGAGTGCACACCATTCAGATGGCTCTTCACAAAAACACATTTTATTTCTTAAATGGATAGATCACCCAAAAATAAAAATTCTGTCATTATTTAGGCATCCCCAAGTTGTTCCTTCTTCTTATCTTTCTTCTGTTGAACACAAAAGAAGATATTTTGAATTTGAAGAATGTTGGTAACCAAACAGTTCACCATTGACTTCCATAGTATTTTTTGGGATGAGACAATCCAACGCTCTCCATTGACTTTCTATTGCGGGAAGCTGCCTTGTCATTTCTGACTTATAACAAAAAACAGAGCAATGCCTAAAAGCTGCTATGTGACAAGGTGTACAGTAAACAAGCTAAAAAACCCAGAACTACGTTTTTATAAGCTGTCGACCCAAAAAAAACGAGCATTTAGGACACAAATAATTGTAGATGTCAGGGTATTTCACGTTGGGCCGTTAGTTTGTATCATTTCTCAAACAAAAGGAAGGTTAGGAAAAGGGACACTGACATAGACCAATAAAATTTAGTTTCTTAATATATCTCCTCCTCTCAGATTCACATAGGGTGGTGAAATAATCCTTTGACATGGTTAAAAAATAATGTAGGCTATGTTTCCTGTCGCCGATTACGTTTCCCTCTAGTGGACGCAGTTCTCAAAGTAATATGACACGTTGCGCTTTACTTTTGTCCTAAACGCTCGTTTTTTGGGTCGACAGCTTATTAAAACTGTTATAAGTCAGAAATGACAAGGAGGCAGCTTCCCGCAATTAATAGCTTTCAGTCACGTGACCGGCTCGAAGACTTGGGAGGGCAAAACATCCATAACTGCAGCACAAGCCTCTCAATTTTTCATGTTTCCCAGCCGCAAATATTTAGATCACCTCTCAAAAGAATAAAACAAAGGTATGTAAACAAAAATGCAAGTTTTGGCCATTTGCAATCCATATTAAGCACCCGCGGCAATATTTCAGTAATTTAACACATTTCATTACACCAAATACACAAAATAATGTTCTTTTTAGCAGCATCATATGACCCCTTTAAAAGATAAAATTCAGTAATCACCATATTAATGATGCACAGTTTACATAGACAAGCAGATGAGGCCGGGATGTTTTCCTTATAATCGTTTTCTATGGGAAACCATTTAATGTGAAACTTTGCACATTGTGTTTATATTCTGGGTATATCTGCTTGCCGGTGTGGGCGTGGCCTACATGCGCTCTGTCTCTATTGAACGAACTTTTAAAGGCTCCAGTTCAGGCAAGGTGTTGAGGTTTGGCTGGTTAAAGTGATCTAAGCCTCTGGAGGTGGATGTTGTAACTACACCATCTGATTGCAAAAGGCATCTTTATCCATTGACAGCCATTTAAATGTATCTGTGTAGGCAGAATAAATTCTTCCGCAAGCAGAATATAAATCACAAATATTTTGTTATATTGTAGTAGATATGTTACCGGTGCCCAATTATTTTTTGGAGAGCTCTTAAAAGAGAGAAATGTATTTGTTCATAGTTTGCTGCTTGGACATCACGGCTCATAACAGTTCAGCTCAGCAGCAGCCATTAAAATGAGTAGTCCAAATGATACAGTACAGAAAAATAAAGTAGGTAAAAATTGA